GCATATGGAATTAGATTTTCATATCAAGGTGTCGGATGCTATTCCTGAGCATCTTTTACTCTCCTCTAACCATTGCCATTCCCTCATGACAGCTTTTCTCTTATGCTTCAGTCACAAAGATGGATTTAGCCATTCAATTCCATTGACAGCCCCCTTTCTTCCCCTCCCCTTTCTAAGAAGAGTAATTACGCACAGAGATTGATAAATACTTCCTCAGCATCTACGAGGTTTCAGTCCCTGAGGCCTGTTAACAGTACAATATGCTTATTACCTGTGTCTATCATAGCATGATCGAGTGTTAAGAGGTTAATCTGCAAAGTACTGCTAAGAGTCAGAAAGAATTAAAGGCATGAAACTTGGTTTCTGATTTATCAACACACAAACAAATGAGCTTCGCCTTAGTTACGAGACTGACTAGCAAGGTACTCCAAGTGTGTGGAAATGTGTGTGGACAGGCTGTGGATGCGATGCTGATCAGGTCTCATTTCTTATCCCTCTTTCCTGTTCTCATTTGTTCCTGCTTCTCTTCTAGGCCCTGTGAGTCTCTTCTCTGGTTCTCTGGTATGCATCCGCCCTATCTCCTCCATTCGTAAACCCTGACTTGACCCAACTGCCATCATTGGCTTCTGACCTCACCATGCCTCTTTCCTCCAAACTTCTCATTTTGATCCAGGTTCACCTTTCCTTGCTAGAAGAGACCCCCTGTTGCCACAGTGGGTTAGCACCAGCCAAGCCAAAATACCTCAACCCAAGATTGTAGTTGCTTACATCAACTCAGGTGCATCTACCCCACGTGATGGCCACCAAATGTAGTCTGGAATAGGGTTCTTCTGAAGCTTATCTGCCATGCCTCAATGAGAAGATGGGTAGGGATGGGCAAATCTGTTCCAGTTTCTCCTAGTTTTTCATTTTTCCAATCTTAAATTCAGTTCTCCGCATCAGTTTGTATTTTTTATTTTTTTTACTTGTCAGCATTTTAGTGGACGTTTCTCCTAATACACACATTTTGTCTCATGTTTTTGCAAAACAATTTCCCCATATAGAATGCATTTGTGTATCTTCTTTTCACTAGTATATGCATTTCACCAGCATATATTATGCTAGTATATGTGTTTTTGTACACAAGACTTGACTGGAGAAGTGCATTACAAAATTTAGGGCAGTGTGAATTTCAAAAGATGGCTGTGCTCCAGTTCATATATTGTTTTGGAAAGTGCAAAATTTCAAAGTGTGAAGGTTCGCCTTTCGTTTATATATAATTTTTATTAACTTTTCTATTCTACAATTTAAAGCACTAATTTTTACATCCTTAAGATATCAATGACTTCCATTCTTCTCTTTCCGTGGTTCATTTTGCATATCATAAATCCCTTCATATTTTACAAAAACTATACCATTCAATATTCCATTATTACATCCATCAAAATATATTTACACTGTTGAATTTATCTTAATGCTGCCAACGTTTACAGCTGCACACAGTTATTTCCCATATATTCAATAAACGTTTTCCAGTCTTCTCTAAACGTATGTCCTTCTTGATCTCTTATTCTATATGTTAAGTCTGCAAGCTTCACTTTTCAACACAAGCTGAATTGAATTTCTCCTCCATCTCTGAATTGGCAGGCAAGCCCTCCTGAATGACCGTTTATGCCCATGGCACCTGGTATCCTTTGTTGCAATGTGCAACTGTGCTACAATTGGGTGTACGCTCAGTAAATGTTGGGTGATGAAACTGATGTGGTGCCTTCCAGATACTGCTGGGCCATTAACCATGCTGTCTGGGACTGATGAGAGTTGGAGTCCAACATTATCTGAAGGGCACCACCACACTGCTGGTCCATGTTATAATGTGAGATGGTGATAGGGAAGGGCTGTGGCCCAGCAATAGAGCACATGATTTGTGTGCAAAGTCAATACTCAGAAAATCTAAGGAGAAGTGACTCCTGCCTAAAATCCTGGAGAGCTGCTGCAAGCTAGTATGGACAATACTGAGCTAAATGGACCAATGGTCTGACTTGGTATTAGTTAAGATTCCTATGTTCCTTACAGTGCAGTCTGAGCCTGGGTGAACAGGCGATACCCCAGAATGCTAAACAGTGTGATTGGAGGCTCGGTGGTTGCTCAGCAAATAAGTAGGCACAGAGAGGCAATAGAGCGTTTGAAAGCTGCAGCTTTGAACAAATGCTCTCCTTATCCCACTCTTACGGCTCCTTGAGATAAGAGCTCCTGAATCTTGACTGTTTAAACAAGCAATCTGCAGTGGTAAATGAGATTCAAAAATAATAAGGTGGTAGCTAGAAAGTAGGTTCCCAACTATTACTGGTGGTGTCTTTAAAATTCATCCATTTTCACATTCCCTCTAAAATAGCATTTTTATGCAGTCTGAAATTGCATTTCCCCCCCTTTTATTTTAAACAGGACGCTGGTCTAGATAGAGCATGGGCCTGATCCAGCAGGGATCTTCTCCTTACATACCTTCTGCCTGTGACAGGGCCCTGGGTGGCATCCTGTCCAAGACAGACTCTCAAGTCAGTCCTGGCTGCTATAGACACCTGTCCTAAAGGATGCAGCGGTGTAATAGGATCCTGCCAGAGTCCCAAGCTTACACAGCTTTGCAGGTTCGATGCACCCTAAGTTCTCATGACTGTGGGCCAGAAAGCGAGCCATGTGACCACAGAAGGAAATGTGGAAATGAACACGGCTCTGCTAAGTGGTTTTCAGTCTGTCCTGCCGTTTGATAGATGAGAGTTTTTATTGGACGCTCTAACTTAATGAACTCCTATGTGGTAAAAGTAATTCAATAACAAATCAGATTCCTAGTTTGTCATCAGCCCTTTGCTAAAGGAGAAGCCGAGGTGGAGGAGGGATGTAATTTGACTTGATGATTGCTTTATCTCATTACTTAAATTGTGTTAGGAATCCCGGAGAATAATGGGTAGTTGTGAAAAGTTCCCCCAGTATTTTGAAGCAAAACCCAGTCATCATCTCCTTCACAACCTCCACACCAGCACACATTATGGAAACATCAGCCCCTGGTTCCACCGTGTTCCCTGGACATCTGTCCGCAACAGTGACTTATAGGCAGCAAGACCAAGGTGCATTTGGACATGGGCAGGGCCGGCCCAATACATTTTGGCATCTGAGGCAAACCACAAAATGGTGCTGCCCTCTCTGCCAGGGAAGAAGAGGTGAGTGAAGATCTATATCTTGGGGCTGGGGGTTAAAGGTCTACATCAGGATTTGCTACCCCCGTGGATCCTGCTGCCTGAGACCTTCACCTCACCTAGCCTCACGGGTGGGCTGGCCCTGGACATAGGGAATACTGCATTCATTTATAATAATAATAGTAATTTTATTATTTGTACCCTGCTCATCTGACTGGTGTTGCTCCAAACACTCAAAATAATGCCTCAAAATCCACACTTTTCCAAATTTTGTGATGCAGCTCTCCAGTCAAGCCAAATGTAAACAAAAAAACATGCATTATGTTAAAGTGTGCATAAAAGTACAATACTAGTGAAAATAACATACAAAAATGCAGTATATTAGGGGAAATCGCTTTGCAAATTGTGTACATTTACTAAAATGCACACCCCACTATTTTTCAAAGTCTTTTCCTATATCAACCCTTCCAGGCACTGTATTTGGTGTTTGTGTTGGGGGGATGGTCTTCTCGTTATCCCTCCACTGGGTTTTGCCTGCTGAGTGGTGACACAGGATAGGGCCTTCTCTGATGTGGCTCCCCAGCTTTTGAATTCCCTTCTCTTGGAGAGAACGACAGCAGAGACCTTAACTGATTTCCACCGCCAAAAAAAAATAAAAAATTCCATTCTCCCAGGCACTGATGGTTAACCTGCGAGAGCTGCCATTGTTATTGGTCATTGAACTGCTACAGCAATGTTTCAGTTTTTATTGGTTGTTCCATTTAAAAGTCATTTTAATTGGGTTGCTTCTATGTTGGAAACTGTCCCGGGGTTTACTGATGTAATGGATAATGGTTGATAAAAACTGGCAAATAAAAAAAAATGCAGACTTCTTTTGTGAGGACTTAAAAAAATATCAAACTGGTGTGGCAGTGTGGCAAATTAAATTAAAAACTGGGGGGAAAGAAACTAAGATTAATTAAAGTTAGCAGATATTACTCTGAAGTTTCCTTGTTTGGCATGAGATGGTCACCCACAGACTGACTTTCAGCCTGATATTTGTCAGCTCAGCAACTAAAGAGCTGCTGTATGTTCCAGCGCTGACAGAAACACAGAATGCCATGCCAAAGACAAAACAAAGAAATAGGGGATCATTCCCTCCCCCCTCCCCGGTAAACAAGCATTAAAAAAAACCAAAAAACTGTTTTTTTTCTCAGCCCTCATTCTTTTCTTTGAAGGTGAGGATTGGGTGTCAAAGACATGTCTGCCCACCATGCACAACTTTTACAAGTTACAAAAAGGGGAGAAAGGGAAGAAGCCCTCCTACCTCCATTGTTACATTTTTCCTTTAAAAGTGTTTTAAGACAATGTCATCAAAAGACCTGAAACGGCACAAATTCCCTTTCTCTCCATTTCAGGATTTACCCTAAATCTGGAATGGGGAACCCTGCAGCCCTCCAGATGTTCTTTAGACTCCAACTCCCATCAGCCCCAGTCAGAATGGCCAATGGTCAGAGATGATGGGACTTGTGACCCACCAATATGAGTGGGCCTGCAAGTTCTCTAGCTCTGCTGCAAATGATAAGCCATAAACTCAGGTCAGCAGTCAAACAGTTAATCTCACTTTGAACATTGGCTAAAATATATCACTTCTATTTAAAACAAAAACAAAAACACAATGGGAGCCTTTCTTCATCAGCCATCTTTATTACAGCAAAATTCAACTTTAAACAGTTTCAATAAAATTTTTATTATTATTATGCCTCTCTCTTTCATTTCAAAAAATACAAAATACCGGTAAGTTTCTTAAAAGTACCTGAGTGTTTCATCCATTTCTGCTAAACAAAATTTTTTTCAGATGAACTTGCAAGCCTATTTGCCCTGAATTTACACTGTTTGTGGTTTGGAATCAAATTATTTTAACTTTGTTCCAAAATGTTCAAACAGAAATGAAAAACCCCAAGGATTTCATACTGCTCCCAAAATGCTCCTATCTCAAAAAAAACCCCTCACCCTAAAAACAGTGCTGGCAGATCTAAAAACTGTTGCCACCTCCATTGGAAGAGAAGTAAGGATTGGTCCTTACAGGTCCAGCAGTAGTAGATGTGAACCTGAGAGTAAAATAAACAGATTGAGCTCAGCCTCCCTCAATAACTACCACTATTTTATTTTATCTATTGTATGCTGCCCCCTCTTCCAATTCATGAACATGTCTGGATCCTGAGATCATCACCTATGGGGATTCTAAAGATACAGATAGGGCTCTGTTTCTTCAGCAATTCTAGGGAATGGTATAGATTTTCCCACCCAATCTTGCAGTGATGGCCACTGCCCTCCTTTCCTTCTCCAGCATACTTTCCCAAAGTACTCTGATAATGAAAGGTGGCAATGGAGCCAGGGAGCCACACGTGCCCTCCAGATGTTGCTTGATACCCCAACTCCCACCAGCATAGCCAACAGTCAGGGTCCATGGATGATGGGAGTTGTAGTCCAACAATATCTGGAGAGTGCCACATTATGCTTTAAAAGTTACCAAAAAGCGTGGAAATGTTAAAAAAACCCTCTCTGTCCATTTTAAGCCCCCATCACTATTCCCCAAAATGTGTTTAAGAAAGGAAGAAGCCCGTCTGTCATCAAAATCCTCCTTCCAAAATTGGCATGAATTACTTTATGCCATCCTCTTCTCCCCATTTCAGGGTTTTCCCAACATGTATCTTCATAATTCATCCTAAACGCACCCCTGACCCCCAAAGAAGAAGAGGAAGAGGAAGACGAAGAGGAGGAGGAGGAGGAGGAGGAAGAAGAAGAAGAAGAAGAAGAAGAAGAAGAAGAAGAAGAAGAAGAAGAAGAAGAAGAAAGTGAATCCTGAAATGGAGAGAAAGGAACTATCCCTAAACATGCAAATTGATTTCCACCTTTGACTATTCTGCACTTATGCACGGCCACTACAAAGCACAGACTCACCCATAGGAAGGAGAAAATGGATACTGTGGACCATCACCTGCCATTGCTGGGGGATCACGTACACTGCTGGATGGCTTGGTCGGGTTCCTCTGCTGATAAGAGTAACCTGGCTGAACCAGTGGGATGTAGCTGAGCACAGGTGTGTAAGGTGAGCGGAAGATTTGCTGTGGATTGTAAGGAGTGACCTAAAGAATCAGGAGGGAAAGAGGAATGGAAAGGGATGATGCTTTGGGGAAAGCGGAATTTTTTTAGAGTTCACAGTGGCTTGAGTAGACACACCAGCATTAATGGGCATGACTGACTTAGGCCATTGATTTCAATGGGTCTACTCTGAGTATAATTTACTTGGCTACAACCCAGTGTCTTAAATTGTTATACCTGTTCAAAATGGGGCTGGAATCACAGGATATCAGCATTATTTATGGAGGGGGGCATGTCCGAGGCAACAGCCGCTACATAAAGGGGTGGCATGTCTTGGTTCCCCGCCTGAGAGATCTCACCAGAAGCCACTGCCACTTCTCCGACAGTGGCAGAAGCAGCAAGATGGTCCAGGTGTTCATGGGGCTGCTGCCTCTTGGGTTTCTGTCGCACAAGGTATATTTATGCAGCCTCTTGACTGTCTCACTTGGCCTTGATCTTCCCACTTTAAAAGCTGAGTTTGAGAAAGCTCCCTTCTCTCCCTCATCATCCTCTCCCTCTCAACTTACCTAGAAAATCCATATAGATTCTAAACTTGCCAAACATCTTGAGCCCCTGCTTTTTGCCCTACTCCAGCAAAATATTCTGCAAACTATGTACAACTCAGTCTCTCTTATTGATAAAAAATCATCTTCCCAAGGTGGCCATACTTGATCTCCTCCCCTTGTTAATATTGCCTAGGTATAGGTAAAGGGACCCCTGACCATTAGGTCCAGTCGTGACCAACTCTGGGGTTGCGGAGCTCATCTCGCTTTATTGACTGAGGGAGCCAGTGTACAGCTTCCAGGTCATGTGGCCAACATGACTAAGCCACTTCTGGCGAACCAGAGCAGCGCACGGAAACACCATTTACCTTCCCGCTGGAGCGGTACCTATTTATCTACTTGCACTTTGACATGCTTTCGAACTGCTAGGTTGGCAGGAGCAGGGACCGAGCAACGGGAGCTCACCCTGTCACAGGGATTTGAACCGCCAACCTTCTGATCGGCAAGTCCTAGGCTATGTGGTTTAACCCACAGCGCCACCCTAGGTCTACTTTAGAGAGAATTCACAGCAAGAGGAGCCCAGAATTGGATTCCCAGCCATGTCACTGAGGTGGGCAGAGGAAAATGGAGGAGGAAGAGAAATGGCCTGCTTAAGCCCATATCAATGTAGTATTTTGGAAGGGGGATTAAACCATTAACTCCATGTGACAATTCCAGAGAACAAATATGGGACTTAGGTCAATCTTTCCGCCCTTGACAGCCATCTAGCTCCAAGGTAGCAGTGAAACTTGGACTAACCAAGGTCAGATGACGTTATGCCAAAGCATAATAACCCCACACTTTCCACAGCATATCCCCATCACTTTCCTTATTGCAAAAAGTCTAACCATTTGGGGAAGCAGTTTTGTTGCACAAGACCTCCCAACCAAGTATAACTGCGCAACCCAATTTTGCTGTTATGTGATTGAATCCCACCCCAATATGGTGACATTCTGGAAGCACCAAAAGGCTGCAAGAGATGGACTTGCTTAAAGCCACTGAAAGCTGAAACCATATTCTTCCTCCCCATGCCCAGCAAATCAACAGCCTCTATACTGATTCATGCTAGAGTACTTATGCCATACCTGTCTAGAATAGCATCCCAACTGAGGATGTAGCGTCTGCTGGTATGGGATCCGTGCTCTTTGCTGATACAAACTCTGTTAAAAATACACAAGGCAGGAAGTGACCGTTGTAGGCCTCAACCTATTATTCTTATGATTATGATTAACCAATTAATTTTGGATCTCACTCCAGTGGTGATCTGTGTTCCGATATCACATGCTGATTTGAGGACCTCACTGTCATATCTTATATGAGTGGGCAATTTTTTGCTTTTTAATTTGCTACTCATACAAATTTGAATAAATCTGCATCTTGCCAGACTCTAAGACAGGTCGTTTTTTAAGAAACTGAGGGAATAATAGAATCATAGAATCGTAGAATTATAGAATTGGGTTATCTAGTCCAACCCTCTGCAATGCAGGAATCACAACTGGTAAAGGTTGGTCTATTCCAATGTCAACTGGAATCCTTGTGCCCTCATACCTCATACCCTGCCTCACAGTGCAAATCTATACGTATTTACTCAAAAGTAAGTTTCACTATGTTTAATGGTCCTTACTCCTAAGTAGGGATCATGGAGAAATTTAATTATGTTTGCATTTAAAGACAAACTAACCTAATTTGAGCTTTTCAAAACCACACAAGAACTGAACATAGCCATCGTTCGACATTTCTACTTTTCCGAATTTTACCATGTTCCCCAGTTAAGTCATGTGCCCCAAAATGCATATACTGGAGTAAAATGTCCAGTAAAATTAGTAAAAATAGCATACAGAATTTCATTTTATTAGGGGGCATTGTGCTGCAAAAAATGTGTTTATCAGGCAAAAATGCATACAGATGTGTATATTAGGAGAGATTCACACTGAAATGCTGACGAATTCTCATGAGGATGCATTTTTAAAAAATCTTAAACTGATGTGGAAATATGGAAAACTGAGCTTCCAACTGGGAAAAGAAGAAACTAGAGAAACTGAAATTGACAGTTCTAGGTAAGCATGTATAGGATTGCAGAAGGTACTACCTTAATAGTAAGGATGGGCAGATCAGTCTGTTTTTAGTCTGTGTCAATTTTGCACCTATTTATTCATAAATCCATTCTGCCCTGTTTTTGCATTAATCGGTGATTCTGCCCCCCACCCCCAAATCAACATGACAATTTAAATAGGTCATATTACAAACTTATTTAGCTGCATATTCTATCTTAACATAGACATTTTAAAGTGTATTTTATCCTAAAATATGCATTGTGGGGAAATTTTTGGTATTTCTTTTGAGCTAGAAATATTCAGTGCAATCCTAACCATGTCTACTCAGAAGTAAGGCCTACTCAATTCAGTGGGGCTTACTCCCAGGTTAGTTGGGTTAGGATTGCAGCCTGTATCACAAAATTCAGAGAAGTGATCTGTACATTCCCAATCCACACATGAGTCTGGCAGGTGTGAGTCAGGTTAGTTCACAATGGAATGCATAGATATCATATTCAAGAAGCTTCACTACCTGCTAGATGGAAAGGACATCTTTTCTTCCCCATTGTGTACAACAGTAACACACCAAAACCACAATAGCCCCCAAAGGTGAGCAATGTGCCCTTAACTTCCAATTATCCAAGATAAATTTCCCCCTCTGATTAAACCAAAGCTTTAATTAATATATAACGTAAATGGAAGGAATTAAGGATTTTACCTAATAATAATAATAATAATAATAATAATAATAATAATATGGCTACTGCTGCTATCCTTTCACCCACCAGCTGTGGCTGTTGCCCATTGGGACTGGTAGCACAGTAGGCAGAGAGGACAATAGCAGATGGAGTCCAAACCAATGATAGGCAAAGTCCACTATTTCTAATTTTGTCCCCATCCTGTTCCCTGCTGAGTTCTCCAAGGGCAACACTGGGTCTAAGTTGGAGGAAGCTGAGAGAGGGCAATCTGAGGTGGGTTGGGCCGTGCCCCATTAGCCTTAACGGATCAACCTCTGCTGCGTCTTTCTGTGCTATGTATAGAAAATTAAATAAACATGGCAGTGATTTATATTTCTCAAGTCATGTTGACTTTTAATTTGGGAGGGATCATCAGTAGACACATTGGGAAATCATTATGTAGACATGAGATAATAGGAATCATTATTATTGTCATTGCAGTAATTGCTGGGGCTCCCCAGGTTGCTGCAGCTTGGATCCCTGCCCTGTATTTTCTGCAGTGCTAAATTGAGAGGGAGAATAGACATGGCATTCTCCTGTCCATTTTCTCCTTGCCTAGAGTGCCGCAGGGAACAACAGGAGCTTTAAAGATAGCGGGGGAAGGTCCATGTTGCATTGTGCCATCACACAAGTTACTGTCATGATGTTGTTTAGTCATTTAGTCGTGTCCGACTCTTTGTGACCCCATGGACCAGAGCATGCCAGGCACTCCTGTCTTCCACTGCCTCCTGCAGTTTGGTCAAACTCATGTTAGTAGCTTCAAGAATACTGTCCAACCATCTCGTCCTCTGTTGTCCCCTTCTCCTTGGGCCCTCTATCTTTCCCAACATCAGGGTCTTTTCTGGGGAGTCTTCTCTTCTCATTAGGTGGCCAAAGTATTGGAGCCTCATCTTCAGGATCTGTCCTTCCAGTGAGCACTCAGGGCTGATTTCCTTCAGAATGGATAGGTTTGATCTTCTTGCAGTCCATGGGACTCTCAAGAGTCTCCTCCAGCACCATGGTATCATGATATTTATAAGGAATTCTATCTTCCCTTCTATAGACACTCCAATTCAGGGCACATACATTCCCCACTGGATCGGGAATCAAACCTGTACATCTCCTCTTTCTTTCTTTCTTTCTTTCTTTCTTTCTTTCTTTCTTTCCTATTTATTTTCCATAATTTAAAAACATCAACCATAAAAACATTTACAGATGTAGAGGTGCTACCATGCTAAACCCTGACTCCTACACTGAACATAAGGATCTCCTGATGAGATGGTATCTGCAGGAGGTCTTCTACCACAGAGCACAATGGTTGATTGGGTATATAAGGGGTAATTTGATCATTAGGTGTCCTGGTGCCAAGTTGTATAGGGCTTTGTACACTAGTACTAACACCTTGAACTTAGCCTGGTAGCTAATTTGCAGCTAGTGTAATTCTTTTAGCAGCAGCCTGATATGATGGTGATAGTCTGCCCCAGTGAGAAGTTGGACCACTACTTTTTGCACTAGCTGCAGCTACAGGGCCAACCGCAGGGGCCGCCTTGTATACAGCACATTGCACCATTCCAACCTGGAGGTTACAGTGCCAAATCAACAGTGGTCAAGCAGGCTATCCCCATGTAGAAACAGCTGTAGTTGTCTTACCAACCAAAGCTGATAAAAGGCATGGTTCACCACTGAAGTCACATTAGCCTCTGGTGCCAGAGATGGTTAACAAGACAAGGATGGGAATTTTTGGAAGTTGAATCACCACCTCTTTCAAGATGCCCAGAACTACTCCATGGCGCAAGAGTGTGCTAGCCATGCACTGGATCCATTGATTTCTGAAAACTACCACCCAGTGTCAAATACCTCATTTGGGGAAGGTGATCAGGAGGACCATGTTAGGACAATTGCAAACACACCTGGATAAAACAGATAATCTTTACACAATCTGGGTTCTGGCCTGGTTCTGTGGCTGAATCAGCCTTGGTCATGCTGATGGATGAATTTTATCAAAAGGATGTGTGTGTGGTGCTGTTATTATTACTTAATCTCTCAATGGCTTTTGATACCATTGCCCACGGTATCCTCCTGAGCTACCTTGATGAGACAGGTATTGAAGGGTACTGAAACCATGATGTTACAGCGGGTGTTGCCTTGGACATCTCAATGCTGTAAATGTGAGGCCAAGATTGCTACAGAGATGAGAGACAGGACCCTCAAAGTGCCTTTCAAATAACACACAATAGGCTTCCAATTGGTCTAAAACTCTATTCACTGGAGATGATGTTTATAGGCCCTGGACAATACAAAAAAGCTCCACGGGATGGCTACTTGAGGATGTGATGAAAGCAGAGAAGTGACCCATCTTCCCTGCCCTCAATACCATGTGATAAACATGATTGTGCTGTTTAACTCATGTTGGGTCAGCTTCCCAGTGCATCTTCTGCTACTTGCACTCAGTCGTCCAGCCTGTTTCATCATCCTTAGTGCTCTGATACGTGAAGGTGCAGAACCGGTTCGGCAGTGCTAGAGGAGACACTTAGGTACCCCCTGTCAATAACTCAATGCATCTCCCCATTCTACAGTGAAACAAGGGTCTCAACAGGATTGTGTGTTCACTGGAAAAACTCTGAGAGCATTCAGGAATCCTTCCATGTCTAGACCACACCTTCCTCCAATTGTAGCAAAAGAAATACCCAATTATTTCTGCTTTTTCACACAAGGTATGTCTCCAAGGTCCTCTGTTATTACTAGTGGCTCCTCTGAATCTGTTCCCCTATCAACATACACCATGAAGGGGCATCTTCATGATTTTCAGGTCCTCTTCAGCATTCTGAAAACTTGAACACGTGGATATCACAAACTGCTTCAGTGTTCCCTGTGCCACTGAGACTCCTGCCCTCTCTGACTTACTGCCTCTAATGCTTCACACAGCCTCCCAGAATGCCTATGTGGTGCTACTAAAGATGGAGGAGAAATTTGGTTTGCATTTTAATGCGAACCTACCTAGTTCGCGCTTCCTGCAAAACTGCTGTCCTTCACTTCAGTTTGAACTTCTCTTGAATTTTGTAATACAGTTCACCAACCAAAAAATGGGCACAAAAACACATGTTTTAGGTAGGAGTATGCATAAATATGCATATATTAGTGAAAATTACATTAAAAATACATTATACTACAGGAAATTGCTTGCATTGCAGAGTAGCATGTGTATATGAGAAATGAGCACTAAAATGCAAATGAATATCCATTAAGATTTCTTTTTTTTCTTTTTTACATTGCAAACTGATGTAGAAATATGATGAACTGAACTTAAGATTGGGAAAATGAGAGAAACTGAAACTGGCAGATCCATCCACCCCTAGATGCTACCTCTTGTACTTCACATTGCTCTAAAAATGCCCATAATGTCCCACAATTCCCCACAATGTCTTGGGCACAACTCCCCAAATTCCCATGCCTTGATGCAACTATGTCTGCAACTAAAGCCAAATTCACACCATACATTTACAGCACCATGACACCAGTTTAAACAGTCATGGGTTTCCCCAAACGGGAAGCTGTAATTTGTTAAGGGTGCTAAGAGTTGTTAAGGGTCCCCTATTACCCTCACAAAGCTACAATTCCCAGAGTTCCCTGAGAAGAGGGATTAACTGCTAAGCCACTTGGGAAATGGTAGCTCTGGGAAAAGGGACAGGGGTCTCCTGACAACTTTCTGCACCCTTAATGAGCCTACAGCTCCCAGTGTTATTTGGGGGAAGCCTTGGCTGCTTAAGGTGTATGGTGTGGATGTGGCCTAAATCTAAATAAGCTGATAACCAAAACCCTAGAAATTGTGATGGCAAAAAGCACGCAGGGGCTGAGGGCACATAAACTCTGGTCTGAAGGGTTTTGGAATTGCATTATTTCCACTGAATTCACTATAAAACCTCCACCCAGGTGGGAACCTTAAGAAAGTTCCTGATTGTGGGAAGGTTTCTAAACATGTCCAACTGAGCGTGCATAGAACCCTCCTTCAGACCCTCCCACTCAGCATCGCGTTGGAGCAGGCACACCTGGCACAGATGGGGACACTGGAGGCAGGGTGGGTGTGCATGCCCTCCACCCTATACCTGCTTGGTCTTCTCATGCTTCCAGAAAGAACACAGAGTTGGGCTCCAAACTAAATATGTGATGAAATCAAATATTATTTCCCTGTTAACCACTGCCTCCCCTTCCCTCCCTGTTGTCTCTTGTGTGTCAAATTTTATACTGTAAATTTCTTGAGGGAGGGACCTATCTTCTTGCACCAGGCAACTGATGGCAGCATCAGCATCTGGGAAGGAGATACCACAAACTAGAATTCATCTGGTCATGAAAATCAGATGAGCATGGATGAGCCAATCCCAGGCCATGGCCTGCCTTATGACTCAAACGTTTGTTGCACATGCCTTCAGTCTGGATTCTTCATTGAAGGAATCCATAGTTAGGTTTTCTGGGCTTCCAAACTGTCTAGAAACCCTTTTAATTTCAAATTATTGCCACCCTTCCAGATTTGGTCTTGGTCTGAATCTTGACACTTCAGGCTTGGTTGCCTGTCGGTGTTTCTAAATCTGAGTTATGCAACCTCATAGCTCTTTCTTTCCTCCTCACTGCCAGCCTCATTCAGTTTTGGAGCTCTTTCCACACCCCATTCATAAGGGTTCGTGTCATTCATTACCTGATACTGTGGGAAGCTGGAGTGGTTTGGGAAAACAGGAGGTGGAGGGTAGTTAAGGCTAAGCCACATTGGCTGTTTTAATGAGGTGGCCGTCGAGTTCGTCGGGAATCGTGGGGTGAAAACATTCCCACTGTATTTAAGGTTGTTCTTATCAATGGCTGTAGAGGTTGCTGTGGAAAATACAAAACAGAGTTAGGCACCATCAATGGGGGCTGTTTGATAGAACTCTTAACATTTTAATTATATGTATATTTGCCTCATATCTGGCATTGGTCAGGAATTCTAGGAAACCAAAGCAATTAGCACAGTTTTGAAATCAATGCTTCAAATCAGTGCAGGGTTGAAAGGTTGAGTCCGCTATCTTGATCCCAATGGCATTCAGTTGTATCCTGTACAAAACCAGTTGTATCCTGAACAAAAACCTGTTCTTTGATCTCAGGAGCCATCAATGCAAAATTTGATTATGGTAGCTTAAGAGGTGTCCAAATGTATAGTGAGCAAACAACTTTCTAAAATAGATAGTAGACCTCTATGAAACAGAGCATTTTTGCAGCTGAAAGAGAGGGCCACTGTTGTTGTAATAAATAAGAAGAACAACAACAATAACAGTAGTAGTAGTAGTCAGAACACTGGTCTACCAAGTTCACTACTGTGTTCTCTGACTGCTAGTGGTTCTCCAGGGGGTCCTTCTCAGCCATCCTTGGAGATGCCAGAGATTGAACTCAGGACCTTTTGCATACAAAACTTGTGCTTTGCCAATGAGTTACTGCAGTTGCTCTGAACCAAAGGAACAATAAAAGGAACAATAAAAGAAGGTAATTGATGAGGATCCTCTATCAACCCTAATCCCTGACCCCAAGGTGTTATACAAGCCTGGCTCTGCCTTTCCTGCCCACAGCTCAGAGCTGACAACACCCCCCCCACACACACACACTAGAAGTGACCCACCTGAAAAACTGATGATTGAGCAAGGATGGGCACCCATTTCATATAGACTTTGACTGCAAAATAAACGGGAACTCCTGGGATGCCAAAGGAAAGAGGATAACAGGAGGAGTGGGTAACAGGAGTTCTCTCAACTGACTCATCTGTTTTAACCAGAATGCTACATAATAACATACGAAGGGCACCACTGAATCAGAACTATGGCTCATCTAGTTTAGCATCTTGTTTCCTACTGTGACCAATCAGATGCTTTTAGAAGCCCACTGGCAGTAGCATTCTGCCTTGGAACATGCAGGCTCTATATAGCCAGCATGAGCTGTAACCATTTATAGACTGATCTTTCTTCATACACTTGTCTAATACCCTTTTAAAGCCATCACTACATCTTTTCGCAGAGAATTCCATAGATGAATATATGTGAACATGTCTTTCCTGAATCTCCTATCAATCAGTTTCATAAAACAATGATGATAGGGAAAGCATTTTTCTCTGCACATGTTCACAACACACCTTGGGTTCCTTTCCCTTCATCATTCTCGAATAATCATCACTAGTTAGCCCACAACCCTTACCATTATTTTGACAGAGCCCATCAGCAACTAGTTCAGGGTCAGTTTTTGAACAGATCTTGGCAAATACTGGGAGCTGTTTCTTTTGCACAGATCCTTGACTTTCCATGACTGCCATTATTGGGGATGGCCTTGTTACATTGTCTTTGTGGGCTGCAGATCCAAAGACATTGTTCTGCAGTAGTAGGTCCTTGATAAACTTGGTTTCTTCTGTCACCGTTTTGGTGTCCAGAGTCTTGGTGGCCTCAACACGTTTGAGTGGGAACTGTGCCAAAAGCTTGGCAATCTGAGTGTTGGAACCCATCATATTACTGTTTCCACTTTCTGTACTTTTGGCATTCTTGTAGATTAATTTTGCAGGGAGCAAGATCCCTGTGACAGTGGACTTAGTGGACAGCTGGACATCACATATGGACCTCAGTTTCACTTCCCTTTTGTTTCCAGTGAGTGCTCTGTAGACATTTTCCATTGCATCCCTCTCATCTAACATCTGGTCTCCATCAGAGGGCATTGTGAGGTGGTTGTTTGCTGGGGCCTGACACGAAGCAGCTGGGGTGGCCTTCTCCTCTTCAGATCTTTGCATCTCTAGTTCAGTTGCATTCTCTTGTGTAAGGCTCAAATACTCTTGCTCAACCAGCATGGATATTTCATCTTTACAAATGCTGTTTTCCAAAGATCTATGTGAAATAGAGAAAGAACCATTTATGTAGGATTGCACAAATTGGATAAGAGGAAGGGCTGTTGCCTAGTGATAGAGCACATGCATTTCATGAAAATCCTTGACATCAGTATGTGGGTTTAGGAAAGACCCCTCTCTGAAACCTTGAAAGCTATGGGCTTTTGTCAGCTTTTGTCAGCATGGACAATACTGAGCTAGGTAGACCAGCTCCCTTTGATCATAGAAAAGGCAACTACCAGTGTAGTTAAATAGAAAACAAATCCTTCCTTCAACCAAGTTTGATTGGGGGTAGTATAAAAATGTTAAAAGAAAACAAACGGAAATATTCTACATATTATATTTATACATCACCATTCAGCCGTATAGGATCCTAAAGAGGCTAGTCCAGAAATGCAAGACTATTCACAATTACATCAATTAAAATACTAAAGTAAGGGCCCCTTCAGACACCCTTTTACTGAGCATTCACGATAATTTCTGCTCATTGTGGTATTGAGACAGTTATTTGCAAAGGGGGGGGGGAGAGTGTGTGTGAAAAACTAATACTCAATGGAAATAGGCTGATTTGTTGGTCACCTATTCCCACCTGCATTTTTCCTGAAGAACTGTTTGGGTCCTGCAATCATTCCTTGATAATACTTGAAAAGCCTCCACGGGCTTTATGACTACTTGCAATGAATGTTTACCAAACCCAGATGGCAGACCTCCTCTCCTGCTCATCATTCCACCCCTTTGCAACTAACCTTTGTAAAAGGCAGCAAAGTCACTGTTGGTAGGAGAAAGCCTTTGACTATGATCTAGGCAGGCCTGTTACCCTGGCTGCCCAATGGATCTAAAAGTTGAAGCATCATTTTCTGTTGGGATCAGTGGATTTGTAGGAAATATTGCTACCCCTCAACTCGCACTACTATTAGGGATTAAAGAAGACATTGTTTCCCATTCTGTCCTGTATTTGTTGCATGCAGCACTGTATCCATGCTGCTGCAGTTTGCCTTCTGCCCAAAATTACATCCATCATCTTACTTTCTGCTGTGGTGAAATTACAAAAATCACATAATTAAATACACAAATACCATAAGTCTCATTTCATTAAATTGTTCCATTGCATTCATTTCAATGCAAAGGAAACACAAGGCAAAGTGTGGGAGGATGTAATCAATTACATATCCTTTGCAAACTGAAAGCAACAACAGTGAATACCAATCATATATGCTGGACTGATTCCCATTCCAGACAAGGGATGAATAAGCAAACATTGACAATTTCTTCTCTCGTTGCTGCTTTTGTCAGAATTCTCTGACATCCCTAGTTACTCCAGAGCTCTGATATTATTTGGAAATATAACAAACAGGGGTGAAAAGAATGATGTGGCAAGAGAAGTGAAGGTGCACTGTGGAAAAGAGACAAAAGAATAACTAAAGCAAGGGAGTCCATTTCCATGCTACAAAAGAGGGCCACAAAGATTAAGCCTTTGCTTTTATGCTGTCTGAGAAACCGAGGAAGAAGCCACAGTAAGAGTTTGTACAACTGCACCATCTGGCAACACAAACAAGAACTTTGTTTGGATTGCCAATCCAGCTTGATCACTCATTACCAATTGCCATTAACAGCATAAATGTAGTTTGTTTGTTTTTTACTTACTTTGTTACAGGCTCTGAGGATGGAACAGCTGGTGTTATAAACATGCACTATGTATGTACTTATCTATACATATAAATATTGTGTCAAATTTCTTTGTAAACTGCATATTACTTAATTATCCTCTAATTATGGCATCACTGTGTAATTAGAGCAGCCTTTATTATTTTATAAATTGAACCAATCTTCCATTCCCTTTCCTTTAGAGCATCTCTGAAATGTTGCTGGGTTGTTGTTTTTTAATTCAGTAATCTTTTCTCGGTTTATATCTCCTGCAATTGATGCAAAAGACTGAAAGATCATTAACCAGAGAAATTAACCCACCAGACTCCTGGGTGGTCTGATGTGACTGTCAAAACGACTAGTTGTCTCCATTCCTCCTTTGCCTCTTGGGTTGTGATGATAGTGGGGTAAATGTCAGTACATAGGAAACTGGAATTGGCCAAGGGACACCAATTGTTGAATCGCTGCTCAAATTGAAGGGGCATGGTGAGGATGTCTGAGAACGCCAGGGGAAATGGAAACAAAGGTGGAAATTGCTGGTGTTTGTTCATTTGTTCCATGTCTGGAACGGGAATCAATCCAGTCAATATGAGCGATATTTGGTGTACTTGTTACTTTCAGTCTGCAAACAACAAATAATTGATCGTGTTCCTCCTTCCCCATTCACATTGTTTCCTTGGTATTGAAATGAATGGGGTGGTATAACATAACGACAATGTATTTTATGTAGTTAATTACTCAAGTTACATAATTTTGCCATAAAAATAGACAGTGAGACATATAATGCAGTTTGTAAGAACATAGGAAGAGCCTGCTGGATCAGGCCAATGGCTTATCTAGTCCAGCTTCCTGTTCTTGCAATGGCCAACCAAATGCCTGTGGGAAAACAGCAAGCAAAATATGAGCACAAGAGCACTTGCCCCCTCACAGTTTCCAGCAGCTGACACTTGGAAGCATTGTTGCTTCCATTGCTGGTAGTAGCCATTGATATCCCACTCCTCCATGAATTTGTCTAAACCCCTTTTAAGGCCATCCAAGTTGGTGGCTAAACCCAGATACACTATGTCAACAGCTTGTAACTCTATCAAAATAAATAAATAAATGAGATTTGTCTAGCATGGCTTGTTTTTGAGAAGCCCATGCTGGGTCTTAGTGATCCTAGCATCCATCTCTAAGTGCTCACAGATTGACTGCTTAATTATCTGTTCTCAGACTTTTCCTGGTATTGACATTAAGCTGACCAGTTGGTAGTTGCTTAGGTCTTCTTTCTCCCCTTTTGGAAAATGGGGACATCTGCCTGACTTGTCTATTCAAGTCAACACCTGACCAAATTCCTTATACAGTTAATAGATAGTAACAAAATTGATGAAAGCCAGTACTCAAAATGGATAAAATTGCTTAAAAATAGTATAATAGCAATTTCACTTCTCTACTAACATCAAAGTCTTATCAAAATCCAATAAACAACAACAAATTTAGTCAGAAGCCTGCTAGCTACAGCTGATGGAGCTTGTAGTCCAAACATCTAGAGGTTGCCAAAGATCACAGTAGACAATACTAGATGTTGGCAGGACAATCTGAACTGGACAATAAGGCAACTCCCCACATCCCTTAAAGTGTGTATACACACACAGACACATATACACACCTCAGGTTAAGAACTTTGCTTCAGGATGAGAATAGAAATTGTGCGGCGATGGTGGGGTGGCGGCAGCTGGAGGCCCCTTTAACTAAAGTGGTACTTCAGGTTAAGAACAGTTGCAGGTTAAGAATGGACCTCCAGAATGAATTAAGTTCTTAACCCGAGGTACCACTGTATATGCTGCTTTCATTATTTGACGTTTCAAAATATTTTTGTTTAAAATTATTTGATATGAACACTATCACTCTGGATATTATTATTTTTATTTGAAATTGAAAAGTGAGCTCCAAGTAGCCTAGATAAATCAACTCGATTTGGGACTGCCGTTCTCTGCTACTAGCACCTATATCTCTCAATGCCTCATTTTGTCCTGAAAACCTCCAGAAGGAGACACAACCCAGAAGACTAGCCTGGTTCTCCCTCCTCATGTGACTTCTGCAAGGCAGTGGGGCATGTCCTTAAACTGCAGAAACTTGAGAAATTTCATATCACCTTTCGAGGACTGTTTCTGATGAGGGAGAAAAAATTAGGCATGACACAAGCCAAACTGTGTGTGTGGTGTGTTTGAATTCTGGTCAGCTTCTACTGAGGCATGTGATTAAATCTCACTGAATAAAGTGAAGAGAATTTTGATCTTGTCATTTTAAATTCTCTTGACCATGGAAGCAGAAGCCTCCATGACAAACACCTTTGATTCATTAGAGTCTTCCTAAAGGGCACAGTTTTGTTGTTGTTCTTTGCATCCTGCCGCTGCCCTGTTTAGATCTCTGCCTACACTTGCCTGCCAAGGATGGAAGGTGTCTGTTCAATTTGTCATCTGCTGCAACATTTTGGGCCAAGATTATACCTTCTGCCCTTTTGCTTGATCCACGGCCTTTAATTATTTTAACATATTGACTTATGCAAATAGGATGCTCCAAGTCCAATTTGAAAGGGCTCTGGAATCTTTTGAACAAACAACAAAGATTTGCCTTCCTGGTCTGGGGTATTTTCTTTTGCTTAGTGTTATTTTGTAACCACAAAGGGATGAGAATTAGGAGAATTCTATCACAGTGTCAACATTATTTTTCATTACATTAAGGCTGAGAGATGCCATAATTTAACATCATGAATCCCTTCTGGCCCCAACTTGTTATCCCTTCCTCACTGAGACTGAAGTACAACCTTTTCCCAAACTTTTGATATTGAGGACACAGTTTAAAACTAGAGGCACACACTCAAAAAAAGTTGTATGTACCTCTGCACTCATCTTCCTTGTAACTGAATGGCAGCCTAGTTAATTTTGCCCCACACTTTGTTTAGTTAGTGAGAGTTCAGTGGTGGACAATACTTTCTGGGCAGTGATGCTCCTAGCAGGGCTAGCGTCCAAGCTGGTGGGCCCCATGGCACTGACCATCCTGCGAGACCTGCTCCCTGATTTGTCTGGTGTATTTTCAAACCTGGACAGTTGCTAGTTGCTACTAATCAATTCACATGCTTACAAAATTTGCTATACAGTGGTACATCGGGTTAAGTACTTAATTCGTTCCGGAGGGCCGTACTTAACCTAAAACTGTTCTTAACCTGAAGCACCACTTTAGCTAATGGGGCCTCCTCCTGCTGCTGCACCGCCACACGATTTCTGTTCTCATCCTGAAGCAAAGTTCTTAAACCGAGGTACTATTTCTGGGTTAGTGGAGTCTCTAACCTGAAACGTATGTAACCTGAAGTGTATGTAACCCGAGGTACCACTGTAATCTTCCTACTTTGGCAGCATCCTAGAGAATGAAAATATAAGTATAAATTCTTCCTTCTCCCTTTCTCTTTTCTACCTTCCCCCTTGACATCTCATCACCAATGGAGGCTTTGGTAAAACACCCCCTTGCCAAATCTGGCATTTCAGAAAAGTAGATCTTTTTAGCCACCTTCGAAACTCATTTTCATTTTTAACTTCTGAATGCTTCCTTTCATCTTTCCCCTTGAAATATTTCAATTTTAAAAATATAAATGCACAAGCAACTATGGAGACTTGTGGTTGTTTCCAGTATCACAGATGTAGGCTTATATCACAAGGAGACAATTTTTACAGTGGGGAAAAAGACGTTCTATTTATTCTGAACATTCTCTTTTAATATGGTATTGAAGCCGTCTCACAGTGTGGTCAGATTTCACCCTAAAAAAGATTTGAGTCTAAATGTGCAGCCAATCTGAATTCCACGCCCCTACTTTTGAAATCCTCTTGGGGTTTGACTGTTTTAGATCTCTGCAGGAGAGTTCTAAAGTTGAGGATTAGCAGCTAAGCATACCTTTCCATATGCATAGGAACATAGGAAGTAGTTTTATTCTGAGTAGGACCACTGGTCCTTCTAGCTCACTATTGTCTATGCTGACTTGCAGTGGCTCTCCAGGGTTTCCCAGCCAGGGAGTCTCTTCCAGACTGACCTGGAGATGCCAGGGATTGAATCTGGGATGTTCTGCATTCAAGGCAGATGCTCTACCACAGATCTATGGCCCTTCTTACATGCCTTTGCCACATGGCAGTGGTGGCCAACTGTCAAATCTCAGCAGCCCCCAGCTAACATGGCCTCCAAGGAAGATGGCAGTTGTATTCCAACAACTTCGGGAGACCCAACGTTAACCACCCCTGTTGTATGGTCTTGGTAGGTGGAGAACACGGAATACTTAATGTCCAAAAATATGAGAATGTGTGGCATCCTTCCTACAGCCATAATTTTGGGCCAAGAAGTGTTACTGGTCCAGGGTGCCTGTGGTTATGAAAAGGCACTCAGCAGATGCTCAATATTTACTTTCCACTCTGTTATTAATTCATGGTTCTCTGGCATTCAAAGAGGTCCTTGGATTGAATGCTCACAGGTCCAGGCTCAAAGTTAGACTGAGAACAATTTGAAGAGGGTTTGACCACAAAAATTGCAGTTGGGTGCATGGAAGGAGATTGTCTTTGGGGCATGTGAAGCCCATGGGGACTGATTAGGGCATTCATTATACAATTAAATAAATGAATTACATAAACACTTCCCCATTATTTCAGATTAACTGCTATGAAATATATTCTCCAAAACTCCAGTTTCAGCTAGCTAGGTAGAGCTTCTATCGATTTGTGAGTTAGGAAAGATTCCTCCTCTCCTTTTTTTGTGTTGAGGTGTTTTGTTTTTTAAAACACTCACTCTTTTTGGGAGCTGCTGGTGTTATTACTGCTATCTTCTCTGAGAGCCTCTGAAGATGTGACAGGATGACAGCTAAGTTGGAGAAGCGGAGATGAGGATCTTGGTTGGAGTTCCTCAGGGAGACCTTGGACCCTTTTCCAGATCTCATGGCAGGCTTTGTCCAAGCTGTCCTGGGGAGTGTTGTGATGGATCCAGATATGTCTTGGAAAAGGGCCTAGGGGGAAAGGACCTTTAGGGTTGACTGTTGAACACTGAAGGCTGCTCCTACCAGTCAGCATCCTGCCTTGTACAGTAAGGAACAGGGGAATTGAAAATTAAAAACAGGAGAGCTGCCTACACACCTTTGTGTAGTGTGTTTTATTTTTATTTTTTTTTAAAAAAAAGGTGGCATAGAATGAACTAGATGGCAACAAACCGTGGTAGCCAAGTAACCGTAGAACCCTTGTGGCATAGCAACTGTTATGAAGGATAACAACTGGATGGAGCTATACTGAGTCCCAAAGACCCAGCAGCCACTGAAGGAAGATGGCACATAAATGAATTCAAAGGAGCTCAGTGTCTCAAAGTGGTATGTCTGGAACATATAATCTGGGATGCTGCTGTCAGTCTTGCTGGCTGGGGCTGATACAATCAGCTCCACTTGTAGTCCAACAATATATGGAGCGCACCACATTGGGAAACAGGGTTCTAAGCCCAAACACATAGAAGCGCATTTGTGCAAGCAAATCCATCCCTTGATGCTCTCTTTTCTCCTCCCTGCATTCTACATTTGGTTTCTTCCGTCAACATTAAGTTGTAAGCTTTTGCCTCTTCTTGCTAAAAACAGGTATGTTATTCTGTTGAGTGCAGTGTGCAAAGGTGGTACAATATTTATTGTAGTAAACAACAATAGATGGAATGTTTGTCCCATTGGATGCTGCCCTACTAATCCTATCAATATATATCAACAAAGATAAATACCTGTGTTAAACCAAAGTTTCCACAGAAGATATCCCGAACAGCAATTTGAAGAGTGGAAGCTTGCAGCAGCTCTCCATGTAAAACTTTTCAACAGATCCCATAGCTGTGCCTTTAAGAGGCATTTGACCGACAGGCAAGTGATAGGTAGCTTCATAAGAGACGGGGAGCAATCATTGCTTCTTTATCCCAGAGTCCCAGATGTATAACCTGGTATCTTTAGTTCCTGGAATTGGAGGGGTTTATTCAGCCTTCAATCGCTGTATTGTTTTGGGCAGGAGTTTCAAAACAGGAGGAATCCTTTTCCACTTGTTTGTTCCTGTTATTATCTTTTGACTGTAGGTGGCACTGCAGAGTGATCTTGTTTTCTTTTTTCTTTTTACAGCTAGTCAAAATGGTTATGAGCTTTTAAATATATTTCTTAGCAAAGTAAAACACTTACCAATCAGGGTTCAGGACAGAGAGATCTAATATGGATTAACCAATAAATTCTTTTGCAAAAAGAGAGAGTGCTTGTGTGTTATTTGGGATATATGCAACCATTTCCCTGGGAAAACATTCACTTTCATAAAGAAATTGAAATTAAGTAGGCAGGGGTTTGTTGAAAGTTAATTTCAAATGCTGGACCCATAACCACAGTGATATATTGAAAGGAACAAATGACAGGCAGCAAGTAATGAAAGTTTACCCCCCTCCAAGGAACAGGTAGTGACTAAGGGCTTAACCACACTTCTCATTCTGCTGCTTCTCACCCCGCCCAACATCCCAGGGGAAACCGCTCTTTAGCATTCAATCAGAGCAAACAGTGATTTGGGTTTTCTCTGGGTTGGTGTTTGCCCTGATTTTTGCCCTGATTTAGGACTAAAGAGCAGGGGTTTTTTGTGAGAAAGGAGTGGGGCAAGTAGAAAACCACTCAGACCCATTCTTCCTAGGCATGGGACAAGTGGAAGTAAGAACAAACCCCACCCCCTCATTGGCCCTGGCTTTGCATTTACAGCAACGTCATGGCTTCTGTTCTCTCCACCCATAAATTTGTTCTGGCTTGTTTTCTTTCGCTGAAAATCTCGGATCAGGTTCCATTTTTTAAAAAAATTAAAGCACATAGCCATTGCTTTTGCAAAAGACAGGAAAGTCATGCATGCATGCATGCATGCTCTGCTAAGAGGCCAGACATGCATGCCAATAGAAATAAGTAGCCTGTTGAATTAACTTGTTTAAGTGCCAGTAGCAAGGCTCGTTCAAGTCTGTAGGATGCATTTCTGAGTTACGGTAAATGTACACAGGGGCTAATGGGAGGAAATCCCACAAACCAGTCCCTATACAGTGGTACATCTGGTTACATACTTAATTTGTTCTGGAGGTCCGTTCTTAACCTAAATCTGTTCTTAACCTGAAACACCACTTTAGCTAATGGGGCCTCCTGCTGCTGCTGCGCCGCCGCGCCACCACACGATTTCTGTTCTCATCCTGAAGCAAAGTTCTTAACCCAAGGTACTATTTCTGGGTTAGCGGAGTCTGTAATCTGAAGCGTATGTAACCTGAGGTACCACTGTATTTAGAACTTGCTACTAGAAGCCCCTGCCTCCAGCTGCTAGCCTTTTCCTAGGCCTCTCAACACATGACCATGTTCTAGCTCTTCTGCTGGAGGCAGTATGCCTCTGAATATCAGTTTCTGGGATTCACAAGTGCAAAGAGTGCTCTCATACTCAGGTCCTGCTTGTGGGCTTCTGATGAGCACATCTGGTTGGCCACTGTGAGAACAGGATGCTAGACTAGATGAGCCTTTGGCTCAACCCAGTACCAAGGGATGTTCTTATATGAGTTGCTTTGTTATCCAGTGTGAATATATGATCTATTCCAGATCTGGCTTCTCACAATCTGGGACTTGTTGGAGTTTGGTATGTATCGCAGCAGAGTGCAGAAATGAAAAAATCTGGGAGAACTGCTGGTTGAAAGACTCAAGGAACGTTTGCATTAGGCATGGGAGGTTTCACTCTGGCAAATGCAGCAGAAAAGGGTGGGTGTTTCTGTTTCAATTAGGCTAATTGATGACACATCCTGGAATCCTGATCTGCAGATCTCTCACAGCAGGAAAGTGGAACCTGAGAACGAGTTGATGGAGCCAGTAGCAGTAGTGGCTCAGTTCCTCAATGGTGATATACCTAAGCATATTGCTTATGCTCTCTCTCTCTGGGACCTAAGCTCTTGTCTCCATATGGAGCTTGGAGATGGAGCAGAGACAAAGGTAGGGAAGCTTTTTATGTTGGGTTGCACCCCTTTGTGGGTAATCTTTTGGGAGCCTCTTAGCTGTGGTGGGTGGGGCTGAACACAAAGTGGGCAGAACCACCCCTTCTCTCACTCCTTATCTCATATGATGGTGAGCAGAGATCCCAATGACCAACAAAGCCAGCTCATTCTGGTTTCGTCCCCACCCTCTCCCCTTATGATTTCTACAAAGTCAGCAATTAGACTACAAGGAAGAAGCCAACAGCCAGTACCACACCTTGGACTAGTTGTAACTAAGGAGGCAGGCAGGTGGTGGCTAGCAGAGGGGAGACAAAGGCTGGTGGGGCAGTGCCCTGTTCACCCTAATGGAGCAGCATTCACTGGCGAGGAAAAAGAAACTTGCCTCTGCTTTGCTCAGTGCTCTGCCTAACACTTGCTCACTCAAACAATTGCTGCAATGCAGCAGTGGTGGCACCAGTATGTGGCACATGATCAGAGCAATGCACGTGCATGCACAATGCCTGCTGGAGTACCTGGGCTGGGATGGCTCTCTGCCTATTCAATGATGGTCCATTCCAAGCAGTGCTGTTGGTGAGACACTGGGAGAAGACAACTAGGCAAGACAGCCCAAACCACTTACAGGCACGAATGGCACCGAATCAGGAGAATGGGAATTGGGGGAGGGCAGGAGAGTGTACAGGAGCAGCACCTGAGGACAGGAATTGATACCTTTCACTCCCACCATAGCATCTGCTGCCTCATTCTGCTTAATGATAGGCCTGGCCCTGGACCTGTGCTTAGTTTTGCACATACAGTACAATTGCATTATGCAGGGGTTCGGTTCCAAGGGTTCCACCTATATGCAAAAACATGTATAGTCAAGCATGACCATCCCTAGCCTTCTGGAGATGGTGTGCTAGCAGTCCTTGCAAGGAAAGCTAGGCTTGAAAGCTCTTTTCACACTGGGTAATCCAAGTGGACCTAGTACAAAAAGCTTTTAAGCTCTCTGCCTTGCTTGTCAGGTGAGGCCCACTCAGCACACTAGCTCCAGAAGGCTAGGGATGCTCACAGAGGAACTCAAATGGTGGCATGAGATCTCATGAGAGCTTCCCTTGGTGCACCCCAAGAAAGACAGATTTCCCCCCCCCCCAGAGAAAAAAAGAGCTTTTAAGCTCCCCTGCCTTGCTTGCATTTAACTTGCAGAATTTCAGCCAGCTGGCCTTCAACAGGGTGTGGTTGAAATTGTGCAAGTTAAATGTGTGTAAGATGTGGTTGTACTGTACTTACGTACGTACGTATGTATGTATGTATGTATGTATGTGTATTGTAATTAAACATGAAAGATACAGTTCTTATCTCCCTTCCTTGCAGTGGTGTAGCATGGGGGGGACACAGGGGCAGTTACCCCAGGTGGGAAATTCTTAGGGGTGCAAAATTTCAACACCCATTGCTGCCTCAATACAACTGTGCTCTTCTGTCACTGGGCTCTTTTGGAAATGGCTTCTCTGTGAGAACCAGGAAGTCACCTCTGCAGACAAGAGAGCAACTCTTCTTTCTTATCTCTGCAGCTGCGATCTCCTGGGTGACACAGAGGCCATTACAAAGTTGGAGGCACACCCCTCCTCCATCCGTTCCCCTCCCTCCCACCCCCCTTCATGTGGCCCCGGGCACTGGCAACCCACACTACGTTATTGCTTCCTTGCATGTAGAAGGGAGGCAGGAAAATCGTATTTGTGGATGGTGGAAAGCTGGGTGTAAGGGCCAAAAGTGGGAACTTCACCATATGGCTGGTTCTTGTCCTGAGGTTCAGACCCTGAGATAGAAGGTGGGGCTTGGGAGTTCAGGGGTGGTGTCTTAGAGATTAGGGAATGGAGTCCACCTGAAGGCACCTAAGTCATTAGGAGCAGAGCCTGGTGGAAGGTAATGGACTGATAGGCAAAAAGCTCAAGACAGCAGTTCCATTCACACACAAACTTTCTGGCAGCCTAAGCTTCAAAACAGTGGCAAATGGATCGGTCCAGGGCAAAACTGCTTACTTACAGCACAATACTTACTGGCTACAATGGCTATGTTCTATGTCCAAGGCAAACTGAAAGCTATTTACTGGAAAGAGAATAGTGCTCAGGTCCTGCTTGTGGACTTC